ACTGCTTATCAGAGGGAAAAATGTGAATTTAGTACACTCGCAGCTAAGCTGTTCTTGTTGGTTAGTCAGCCATTTTCAGCTGTCAGGAAACTGGAGAGTCGCGTGTGTAATCTGATGACAATAAATAATTGCGATTGGGAATATGGAGGATAAATAAGCATGTTTATGGCCATTTTTTGAGTCCAGACTTTAGTTCAGAAGATGAAGCTTAAAGTGAGGAGAAAGTGGATGAAGTGGAAATAAGGCAGGAGAGAGCGCATGGTGAAAGGCATTATGAGAAAGATGCATATGAAGTGATCACATATAGTTTGAAAAACACATTTGGTATCCTAAAATTAAAAGTTACAACTTTTAAAAACTTACAAAGAGTACTGCGTATGTGCCTGGTCTCTAGCAACATACATAAAAATGTTATTAGGTAGAATGTCTTGGCCACTGTATTCAAGATGGTGGGCAAACTTCCACAAACCAGCACCTGCTCCTCTATATTTCCAAATGAATAATTGGGTGGTGTAATTACACATTAATTAAAGTATATTTATCAGGAAACTATTATTTTTTATATTAGATAACCTTAAGAAATTACTTAGTATAACTTTAAATTAAAAAAAAATGGACATAAAAAACTACTCGATTTTAATAACAAAGAGTAGGTAAGAAGAATTTTAAATTTGGTGAGGGCATAAACACATGAAAAAAAGCACGTGAGAAGTTCAAAGCCTGGTTTGTTTTATCAGTAGAAAAACGGGGTCAATAGAAGCAATAAACATATTCTGTCACATTCCAGGAAGTGCTTACAAATGTTTTTTTTAACGTTTGTTCCCCTGTTTCCTGCAACAGACACCACTGAACATCAACTACAGCAACTTTTTTTTACATAAATCCAGCAAAGGTTTCTTTCATAAATGCAGTACAACAAGACAATCTATTTGCCTTCCCTTTAGAATGATTTACATTAAGGCCTGTTTGAAAGATATGTTAACTTATGAGTTACTAATAGCTGCAACCTGAGCTTTTCGTGGAACAAGTCTTTTGCAAAATTGCTTCAACAAGCTTTCTCTCATGTCTTTTGCTCTTAAGCAATATATGAGTGGATTGATCATTGGTGGGGCAAGGCTGTACAGCATGATGATCACTATTCGCACATCAGCACTAAATGTAATGCCAACATTTTGGGCTAAATATACAAAACATCTGGGTAAATAATAAAGGGAGATTATAATCAGCTGAGTACTACAAGTGGACAATGATTTCAGGCGGCCTTGCACATTTGCTATCTTATACACTGCTATAAGAATAGAGCAGTATGAGAAAATGATAAATGCCAGAGGCCCCAGTAGCACAACCATTGCAAATACAAAAGCAGGAGTGGCATAAGGGGTCCTGTCAGTGCACGCAAGGACTGTTATACCAATATGGTCACAGTAGCAGTGAGTGATTATATTTGAGGCACAGTAAGGAAGAGCATATGCTCTAATAACTGACATTAAAGGGGATGCCTTGGAAGTAATCCATGCAGTAATACTAAGAATTAAAATATTCGATTTTGTGAGAATACGTGAATATTTGAGAGGATGGCAGATAGGTACTTGGCTATCTAAAGCCATCTGAAAGAGAATGTATGCAACAGCTGTGCCAAAATAATGGACAAAGTACATTTGGATAAAACAGGCAGTAAATGAAATGCTTCCTGACTGAAACCAATATCTGCTTATGATCTTAGGTAAAGTGGTTGTGCTAAAGAGAATATCACATACACTCAGATTTAAAATGATATAATACATTGGCTTATGGAGGCTGCGGTTGGTTGCAAATAAAAAAATAACTGTAGCATTTGCTATCAGAGTTACCGAATATACAAAAAACAATACAGCTGAGACAAGACCATAGTACTCTTGATGAAGGCCAGGGAATCCAGTAAGGATGAACTCAGTCAGAACACTATGATTTCTCTCAGGCATGATGAAACAGAAATTTGTTTAAAACACTGGTAAACATACAATGCTTGAGAAACCACCGTTAAGCCTTATCAATTACACAATCTTAAATTTACAATACAGTATAGTATTAACTCAAAGATTTAATCCGACTAATTGTTATTGTTATTATTTTTCAATTCTTTTTCAATTCTTTTTCTTTATCAAAGCCTTTTGATCTAATCATGTTTCATGTGAAAAATAAACATTCCGTTTTATTGTAAATCTTTAACTATGCACATAAACATAAGGATGAGAAAGACTTTAATTAGCTCAGTTTATATGTACCTTTCTCATACAGGATGAGAGAAGGCTCCGCTGTGTTGCCTGCTGATTCACTGCTTAAAAAGACTTCTTGCAGTGTGGTATCATGATGGTGGTGTTCGATAGGTTCACTTTATATTCTCTGTGGATCAAGCCAAGCCTACTTTATTTATAAAGCACTCTAACTGAACACTGACCAGAGTGCTGAAAATAAAACAATAAAAAATAAAAATACATAAAATCAAAAACAGTGACAGTAAACAATATACAACACCAACATCAGAAAGACATTAAAATCCAAATAAAATTGGCCTTTCTATACGGTGTTAAAAGCCAAACCAAAAAGGTGCATCTTCAGACCAAAATGAAAGATATCAAATTGAAAAGACTTTGTAATTTGTAATGGCAGTGCATTCCAGAATTTGGGAGCCGCAATTGCAAAAGCCCGATCTGAGAGACCGACGAGGGGTGTGAAGGTGCAGTACTTAAGAGAGGTAGTGTGGGGCAAGACCATTTAAGGCTTTTGAAACCAAATTAAAGAATTATTAATTGAACCCTAAAATGCACAGGTAGCCAGTGTAGTGAGCATAAAACAATAGTAATATGCTCCCTCCCTTCTCCGTTTACCAGTTAAAAACCGTGCAGCAGCATTTTGCACCAGTTGAAGACATGACAAGGGTGCCTGGCTACTACCAAGGTACAACAAGTTACAGTAATGCAGCTGAGTTGTAATAAAATAATGGATTACTGTTCTAAAATCAGCTATCTTGGAAAACCAAGATAACATGACTCCCTAAAGTTGTAGCCAGGAGGGTGTCTTTAACAACTCTAAGCAACACACCGCATGGACAATGAAATGTCAAATAACACAAGCTTATGATCTGAAACACGGCATCTAAAATCATGAAGTTAGAAACAGGCCGATGATGGGATAAAACAACATACAATGTAATATCCACATACTTGTGTAGGTCCAGTCACTAGGACCAGGCATCATAGCGGCTAAGATGAACAGGGATATGACTCAAAACATGAGTGAGGCACAGTAAATAATTGGCAGGAATAACAGAGGGGTGAAACACCAGCTCCTGGTAGACAGAACAGTCTCGAGATTGCAAGACTAGAGTGACCAAACTTTGTACTGCCTGGATTGACTACAAGAAAGCCTATAACTCAGTGGCCCACACATGGATCCTGGAATGCCTAGAACAATAAAAGATCAACAGGACCCTAAGAGCCTTCATCGGGGATTCAATGGGGATATGGCGAACAATAGTAGAGGTCAATTTCAGACATCAAGGACAACTGCAATTACTTGGGAATCCCAAAGACATGTCCTGAGTAGTCAGCTGAATGGTAAGAACAAGATCCCTGCAATCAACACCTACGCCCTGCCAATGATCAGGTATCCTGCCGGTGATTAGGTTCCATGCTGGGATAATAAACCGCCCAAAGAAGGAGATCAAAGCCACTGACATCAAGACAAGGAAGCTTGGATTTTAACCCAAATGCACCACCACGAGACTGTGGGGACTGTACGCTAAGCAGAAGGAAGGAGGCCAAGGACTGGTGAGTGTTAAAACCACTATCCATGATCACATGATGACAACAAACATCCATGAGTACATCAGGAAGATGGCCCCAACTGACCATGTATGTACTAAATACTTCAGGCAGCAGAAACCTGAGAAAGAAGAGGATCAATGAGAAGAACCATTGTAGAAGGACAGGCCCCTGTACTGTATGTACCACGGGGAGGTATAAGACGTGGCTGACATCAAGAAATCCTACCAGTGGCTGAACAAATCTGGACTGAAAGACAGCACAGAGGCACTAATAATGGCAGCACAGGAACAGGCTCTTAGCACAAGATCGATAGAGGCAGGGGTTTAACACACCAGGCAATACCTTAGGTGCAGGCTGTATAAAGATGCCCCTGAGACAATCCAGCACAACAGCAGGGTACAAAATGATAGCAGTCAGGGCATACATGGAATACCATAAGCACGTGGCTGGTATAGTATGGAACATCTGTGCCGAGTACGGCCTGGAATTCCCAGATACAGGCAAACAAACTGGTGGTGGCTAACCAACCTGACATAGCAGTGGTGGACAAGCAGAGGAAGACAGCAAAATTTAAAATTATTTTATTTATTTATTTATTTCTACACACAACACAATAAATTTATTCTATAGTTACACATCAAGTGATTGTCTCATTAAGAAAAAACAAAGAATCCCCCCCCCTTCCTGGGACAGTACAAATGTTGTGGTATGTTTTGACATTTACAAAAGAAAATTCTGCCCTCAGGTCAAAAATGAAATGTACATTATCTAAGTAACAATTTGATTCAATTTAATTTATATAGTGCTAAATCACAACTGGTGCCTAAAGGCTCTTTAACAAGTGGGTAAGACAAAATTTGAATCTATTCAGGTCACAAATACATGAAATGGAAAGCTGTGTGAGACACTGTGAGTGTGAAGCTCAGCCTGTTTTTTGAATATCGAACTCTGTTTGTGCTCCCTTAAAAACTTGACAGAACTCTGCATACATATCTGGGGTCAAGAGAACATATAAAGATACCGGGTTACATGTAAGGAAATGCTTGCTAATGGTTTTATTTCATCTGTAACCTGCAACAAATAGCACTGGATCTCAAGTATATGTAATTTTTATATGTAATTTTTCTCCAACAACTCATGGACTTTTTCATGCAATACAAGAATCCCAATGACTTAAACTGTTTAAAAGATCTGTTATTTGTGATTTATGATATTAATAACTGCAACCTGTGCTTTTTGTGGAATGGTTCTTCTGCAAAATACCTTCAACAAGCTTTCTCTCATGTCTTTTGCTCTTAAGCAGTATATGAGTGGATTGATCATTGGTGGGGCAAGGCTGTACAGCATGATGATCACTATTCGCACATCAGCACTAAATGTAATGCCAACATTTTGGGCTAAATATACAAAACATCTGGGTAAAAAGTAGAGGGATATTATTATCAGCTGAGTACTACAAGTGGACAATGATTTCAGGCGACCTTGCACACTTGCTATTTTATGTACTGCTATAAGAATAGAGCAGTATGAGAAAATGATAAATGCCAGAGGCCCCAGTAGTGTAACCATTGCAAATACTAAAGCAGGGATGGCATAAGGGGTCCTGTCAGTGCATGCAAGGACTGTTATACCAATATGGTCACAGAAGCAGTGAGTGATTATGTTTGAGGCACAGTAAGGAAGAGGATATGCTCTAATGACCATCATTAAAGGGGATGCCTTGGCAACAGTCCATCCAGTAATACTAAGAATTAAAATATTCGATTTTGTGAGAATACGTGAATATTTGAGAGGATGGCAGATAGCCAAGTACCTATCTAAAGCCATCTGAAAGAGAATGTATGCAACAGCTGTGCCAAAATAATGGACAAAGTACATTTGGATAAAACAGGCAGTAAATGAAATGCTTCCTGACTGAAACCAATATCTGCTTATGATCTTAGGTAAAGTGGTTGTGCTAAAGAGAATATCACATACACTCAGATTTAAAATGATAAAATACATTGGCTTATGGAGGCTGTGGTTGGTTGCAAATAAAAAAATAACCGTAGCATTTGCTATCAGAGTTATCAAATATACAAAAAACAATACAGCTGAGACAAGACCATAGTACTCTTGATGAAGTCCAGGGAATCCGGTAAGGACAAACTCCGTCACACTGCTATGATTTTCCACAGGCATGATGGAGGGGAGACGTCCTTAAAACGCTAGTAAATATAATACTTTAGATAAAACACTTAAGGCTCATCATTTACATGATGACATTCAAACTCACAATAAAGTACAGCATCAAACCAATTCATTTAGATTCTTTTCACTGTACTGTTAACCCTATTGTACCATTTAATGCATTTATATTGCTAAGATTATAAATTATTGTTTTTAATCCTTTTTGATTACTTATTTCTTTTAACAAAGGATTTCGATCCATGAATGTTTGTATACAACCAAAGCTTTTTTGTGTTAAATTTTAACAATATAAATTAACATAGTAATGATTTAGACTTTAATTAGCTCAGTTTATATATACCTTTCTCATACAGCCTTGGGGTAGACTCTGCTGACTTGTCTCCTGGTTCTCTGCTTAAAAAGACTTCTTGCACTATATGGCCTTGTGATGAAGGTGTGCTATTGGCCATTTTTCTATTCTCTGTGGATCAGTCAGTGCTCAATATTCAGTCAGACCATGAGAGCATCATTAATGGTATTTTTTAGTAAAGGAAAAAGTCCTTTACTACTACTAAATTTAGTCGTAAATAAGCTGAAAGCCATCTAGGATTGTTTTTGTTGTTGTTAGAAAATGATATTTCTTGCTTTGAAAGCACAGCGTTTGTTTACAGTGTTGGTCAAGTTAGTTGAAAAAAGTAATCAGTAACTAATTGCTGATTACTCCTCCAAAAAAGTACCCCATCACTTTACTGATCACTTATTTTCAAAAGTTCTTAGCTACTTAATTACATTTTAAAAATATGATACAAAACCTGATTACGTAATAAAGCAATAGAACTTTTAGCCCAGACCTTTCTACTTATTCTGCATAATCTATCATATAAAATGTAATCAAATGAAAAAGTCTCTTTTTAAAACTTGTTTTATTAGTTTTAATCTTTTAACTTTATGCACATTGCATCAAGCAAAAGTTATATGCAACAGTCTTTGACTTGAAGAAATTTGTTTAACATTTAAACCTATTTTCTGCATATTCCAGCATATAAAATAACATTTTTTGTTTTTACACTCACTCTTTCAAATAGATGCAAGTAAAACACAGCAGAAAATAAATAAAATCAAAGACTTAGTGGCACTAAGTCCTGTTGCTCATAATTCTATTTTCACCTGTTTAGCAGGAGTGGGGCATGTGGAGGTTTGCCCTGGTGCAGGTTTTTTTTTTTTTTGCTAACTTGTTGCCTTACAAAACATGTGATTTATTGCCTGTACTGTTTGGCAGTGTAGCAATCAGAACAGTTGTTTGAAGGTCAGAAAAAATGATCAACAGATTTATTTTCCCAACTGCACCATTACGGCTTTTACTATACTGGTCAACTTGACACACTATTAATGATACACGCCATGTTTCGAGGCAGCAGTAAACTAATATAGTGTGCATTTGTAAGTACCTGTTTGTACACATGTGTGAAAACTTGTACGCTTGTGTGCACACCTGTGTGTGTGAGCTTGTGCTCATAAGATTTCTCCATTTAAGTATCTAATAGTAGGTTTGGGGAGCCACAGCCTTGACCCCATTTCATAAAGCAGGCATGGAGGAGACCCAGGCCCCAGACATCCATAGCCCCCCTAGAGTACAAGAGCAATCACAGCACCCACCTAGAAAAGTGTTAAGGAGAGCCCTTGACAGGGATCACCCAGGGGCCATGGTGCAGAAGCCACAGGAGGCCTCAGCGGCGAGCCTGCGGGCTCCACAGGCAATCTGGCTAGCAGACTGTGTACCGGGCCCAGAGACCCCCAGCAGGGGCCCAATAGAGCCAGGCCCCACCAAGCAGCCACCAGGAGTGAGCCACTAAACAGCCAAACACCCACCCAGAGACACAGAGAACCACCAATGCACCGGTGTGTGTTGGCACCAGCAACTGGCAGTGAGTGTGGTGGGGGGAAATAGGCCATCACACCTGAGGGAGCCTAAGATGTTCTGAGAGAGTGAGAGTGTAAGACCTGACCTGACACATAGACATATACAATCAGAATCAGAATACTTTATTAACCCCTAGGAAATTATGTCACAAGCATGCATTTCCAGCCTCATGCACACACATACAAATACTCACATGCTCATCCAACATGGAGACACACAAAAATGTTGTTTGCTTTTTCCCCCATTGAACAGCAATTTTAGCTTTTTTTTAATGTGAATTTTCACTGGTGCTATAAGTTAAATATAACACTATTCTAAATGTTGTCCTTTAAATTCAATAATAAATAGGTTAAAATCATGTTTTAAAAAAAAAACAATTTATTAACTGCATATTTTTTTACAGCCAGCAGAATTAATTCATTCCACAGTTACAGTGAAAAGATTTTCTTCTTAAAAAAAAAAAAAAAAAAAAAAACTCAACAAAAATTAAAACCACAGAATGAAGCAAAAACAGGAAAAAACAAATGGATACCTTGTTACAAGGGCAGTCAGAAAACATTTTAAACTTGTGAAACAGTATAGATATTTGATAGATGTCTTTCATCATTCTGTTTACCGCTGTTAGTGTCCTTACTGATTTACTCTGAAGGAGGCTGTCAGTGCGCAATGCTGTTTTTGTTGCTGTTATCTGCTGTTAGCCAGCATTAGTGAAGCTTCCTTTGAAGTCGATCAAACATTGTTGCACTTGGAAACTTAGTGAATAAACTCTCATGTGATGTGAGAATACAGTCAAACTGCTTATCAGAGGGAAAAATGTGAATTTAGTACACTCGCAGCTAAGCTGTTCTTGTTGGTTAGTCAGCCATTTTCAGCTGTCAGGAAACTGGAGAGTCGCGTGTGTAATCTGATGACAATAAATAATTGCGATTGGGAATATGGAGGATAAATAAGCATGTTTATGGCCATTTTTTGAGTCCAGACTTTAGTTCAGAAGATGAAGCTTAAAGTGAGGAGAAAGTGGATGAAGTGGAAATAAGGCAGGAGAGAGCGCATGGTGAAAGGCATTATGAGAAAGATGCATATGAAGTGATCACATATAGTTTGAAAAACACATTTGGTATCCTAAAATTAAAAGTTACAACTTTTAAAAACTTACAAAGAGTAAGTTTTTAAAAGTTGCCTGGTCTCTAGCAACATACATAAAAATGTTATTAGGTAGAATGTCTTGGCCACTGTATTCAAGATGGTGGGCAAACTTCCACAAACCAGCACCTGCTCCTCTATATTTCCAAATGAATAATTGGGTGGTGTAATTACACATTAATTAAAGTATATTTATCAGGAAACTATTATTTTTTATATTAGATAACCTTAAGAAATTACTTAGTATAACTTTAAATTTAAAAAAAATGGACATAAAAAAACTACTCGATTTTAATAACAAAGAGTAGGTAAGAAGAATTTTAAATTTGGTGAGGGCATAAACACATGAAAAAAAGCACGTGAGAAGTTCAAAGCCTGGTTTGTTTTATCAGTAGAAAAACGGGGTCAATAGAAGCAATAAACATATTCTGTCACATTCCAGGAAGTGCTTACAAATGTTTTTTTTAACGTTTGTTCCCCTGTTTCCTGCAACAGACACCACTGAACATCAACTACAGCAACTTTTTTTTACATAAATCCAGCAAAGGTTTCTTTCATAAATGCAGTACAACAAGACAATCTATTTGCCTTCCCTTTAGAATGATTTACATTAAGGCCTGTTTGAAAGATATGTTAACTTATGAGTTACTAATAGCTGCAACATGAGCTTTTCGTGGAACAATTCTTTTGCAAAATTGCTTCAACAAGCTTTCTCTCATGTCTTTTGCTCTTAAGCAATATATGAGTGGATTGATCATTGGTGGGGCAAGGCTGTACAGCATGATGATCACTATTCGCACATCAGCACTAAATGTAATGCCAACATTTTGGGCTAAATATACAAAACATCTGGGTAAATAATAAAGGGAGATTATAATCAGCTGAGTACTACAAGTGGACAATGATTTCAGGCGGCCTTGCACATTTGCTATCTTATACACTGCTATAAGAATAGAGCCGTATGAGAAAATGATGAATGCCAGAGGCCCCAGTAGTGTAACCATTGCTGCTGTAAAGGCAGGAGTGGCATAAGGGGTCCTGTCAGTGCACGCCAGGACTGTTATACCAATATGGTCACAGAAACAGTGAGTGATTATATTTGAGGCACAGTAAGGAAGAGGATATGCTCTAATAACCATCATTAGAGGGAATGCCTTGGAAATAATCCAGGCAGTAATACTGAGAATTAAAATATTAGATTTTGTAAGAACAAGTGAATATCTGAAAGGATAGCAAATAGCCAAATATCTATCTAAAGCCATCTGAAAGAGAATAAACGAATTGACTGAACCAAGATAGTGAACAAAGTACATTTGGATAAAACAGGCAGTAAATGAAATGCTTCCTGATCGAAACCAATATCTGCTTATGATCTTAGGTAAAGTGGTTGTGCTAAAGAGAATATCACATACACTCAGATTTAAAATGATATAATACATTGGCTTATGGAGGCTGTGGTTGGTTGCAAATAAAAAAATAACTTTAGCATTTGCTATCAGAGTTATCAAATATACAAAAAACAATACAGCTGAGACAAGACCATAGTATTCTTGATGAAGGCCAGCGAATCCAGTAAGGATGAACTCAGTCACACTGCTATGATTTCTCTCAGGCATGACAGAGCAGAAATTTCCTGAGAACACTGGAAAACCCACAATGTTAAGATAAATGGTAACATTTAAATTTATAATACCTTGAAATCATTGTGCTTTAAAGTAATTTTTGGTACTTTGTGCATATTGTTAAGAATATTTTAGTAAGTTTTAGTTCTCATTTGTTTTTCCTTTAGGTCTGGGAATTTATGTTACAACTAAACATGTTCCTGACTGCATAACATACATGACATAATCTTTTTTATGGGATGAATAACACATAACATAACATAATAATGACTCAGACTTCCTTTCGCTCACTTTACACTTACCTTTCTCATACACCGTGGCAGCAT